AAAACCCGCATTGACCTTTTATCTAATAAATGCATCCCTTCCAAGAGTTGGGACTTGTTGCACGTATTAGCTCTAGATTTACTACGGTTATCCGAGTAGTAGGTACCATCAAACAAACTATTACTGACTTAATGAGCCATTCGCAGTTTCACAGTCTGAATTTGTTCATACTTACACATGCATGGCTTAACCTTTGAGACAAGCATATGACTACTGGCAGGATCAACCAGGTATCATTCCTCAATGCACCTTGACACGCCAAAACCGAAAGCGAACTCAACACATCATAGGCGGTCATACGGAGGGAAACACAATCATAGAAGTGACGGTGAAGCCAATAATGAACCAGGGAACCCTGGGACAAAATACTTAACAGGCGGAATTAGGCTAACAGAAAATTCTTAACCAGTGCCCATAAGTGTACCAAACCCGAGCACTCAACAACAACAAATGGGACAAAACTTTCCGGGAAAAAGCCAACAGATAGTGTACCACAAGCACTGCCATGGCGTCAATCGAATGCCAACCCTTTGGTTCCCAAACGGGAAGGCACACAACAGAACTCAGCAGTTAGAACGTAAGGATGCCACCGAAAGGGTACAGAACAAAGGAAACCATTGCAAACAAAGGCGGAGCCCACCACATTGAAAAGGCTTTCACGGCAAGTTTTCGCTGCTACAGCAAGGATCGAACCTGACCATGAAAACCAAATACATCTCACACACAATTACGCATCGCAAACTTCATACACACCGCACAACCCACCAACAGACCAAAGGCCAAGTTTTTAACTCGACAGTCAGTCCACCAGCGAATGCCTGGTGCCCATGACAGTCGCGTCGAATAGTGCCATGCAAGACCACACAAAACCGTAGCCAACCGTCCCACCCACTTAGAGCCAACCTAAAACCGACTGCATTAGCCCCCAACGCCTGGCCCTTCCACCTGGGTGGGTGTAATGGAAGAACCAAACGTAGAATGGGAAGGAGCTAAAGCAGGGCCGACACACCTAACATCGGCACACCGAGCCAAATTAAAGAAATTTGGCTAACCTAAAAAGCAACCATCCGAGAGTTGACTCAGCAAGGACGAAATAGCCAACAATCCCCGTTCGAAATGCCGGCATCCCAACAACCGGCATTTCAATGGCCAACAAAATTGTAGCCAACCGTCCCACCCACTTAGAGCCACCATAAAACCGACTGCATTAGCCCCCGATGCCTGGTCCTTCCACCTAGGTGGGTGTAATGGAAGAACCAAACGTCGGATGGGAAGGAGCTAATGCAGGGCCAACACACCTAACATCGACACACCGAGCCAAATTAAAGAAATTTGGTTAACCGAAATCCAACCATCCGAGAGTTGACTCAGCAAGGACGAAATAGCCAACCATCCCCGTTCGAAATGTCGGCATCCCAACAACCGGCATTTCAAAGGCCAACAAAACCATAGCCAACCGTCCCACCCACTTAGAGCCACCATAAAACCGACTGCATTAGCCAATTCCTCATCACAAAACCAAACTGGGCCAAGGCTAGGAATTCCTCGTTGAAGACCAACAATTGCAATGATCTATCCCCATCACGATGAAATTTCAAAGATTACCCGAACCTATCGGCCAAGGCTATACGCTCATTGAATACATCAGTGTAGCGCGCGTGCAGCCCAGAACATCTAAGAGCATCACAGACCTGTTATTGCCTCAAACTTCCGCGGCCTAAGAGGCCGTAGTCCCTCTAAGAAGCTGGCCACGAAGGGATACCTTCGCATAGCTAGTTAGCAGGCTGAGGTCTCGTTCGTTAACGGAATTAACCAGACAAATCGCTCCACCAACTAAGAACGACCATGCACCACCACCAATAGAATCTTGAAAGAGCTCTCAATGGTCATAACCTGGTTGTTCACACTCCAGTCATTCTTCAGATGGAGTATGAGCAGACTTGGTTATGGCCTGGGTTACTTATGGGTGGGTGGACCCTTTGGGTGGTGGAAACAGGTTATTCTTTGGATACCCCTTCTAGATGTGTAAAGAATAACCTGGGTCCCAGGTTGGGGTGTGTCACACATCCATTTTCTTTCTTTTCCTTCCCCTCCCCTCCCTTCTTCTCTCTTCTTCTCTTCCCTTCATCACTTCTCTCTACTTCCCTCTCTCATCTTTTTCCTCTGTATTCTGGAGTCAAACCAAGACACACATTGCCCTTCTTCCTTTGAAGGAATGTGTTAATTGGTTTGCCTCCCTTGCCCTTTGACTTTGGTGGAACATTATGTGATTACAGTGCCTTTGATGCTGGACTCTTTGAAGACGACCTAATTCTGATAACCTTGGCCACTCTTGCCCAGCCATGGCATAGCCTCTCCTTATTTGCATAAGGGAGTTTCTGATTTGCTACCACTTCGCTTGGGGGGCTGAGGTTTTGATGGAATTAGGCCATTGTTTCTGTGATGACCCTGCCTCTTTTTGGGTGAGCTGGAACAAATTTGCTGTTGGTGAATCAATGGACCTGACCTGGAACATTCTGCTTTGGCTCTCCTCAGAAGGATCCCTGTTTGATTTCAAACCTTGAATGATGTTGCAGCCCTTAGCACTTACTGGATTGAGTTGGCTGCTGTTTCTTTGCTTTTNTACCTGTTTGCAAAGGTTGGTTTGACAGGAGTGTGCTGATTTTCATAGTTGGGTTTGACTACTCCTGTTTTGGTGTCCCTGTGTTGTAGAAGAGCTGTTACACTCTTTGAAGGGACTTGGGCAAACCTGTTTGTAATGAACGTTTTGAACGTGGCTTTGACTCCTACTCTCTTGGCTTCCCTGTGTTGTTGAAGAGCATGACCACTCTTTGAAGGGACTTGGGTGTATTTGTTTGCAATGTGTGTTTGACAAGAGATCACTGCTGTGCCTTAACTGGAGCAGTGCAAGCATGACGTTGTTTTGATTTTTGGCCTCCCTGTGTTGTAGAAGAAGCTGTTAACTTCTTCGAAGGGAATTGTTTTTGGCCTTGGTTGTATTTTTTGTTTGATGTATTGCGTTGTAATTGCTTTTGTAGTTACGGTGTACTTGTAACTTCTTAAATATGCGTGTAACCATGTTGATGGTTAAGCATATAACACTGATGTACATTTTCTGATTTGGGTAATAATAATTTACATGTTACCCTTGAAAGAGCTCTCAATCTTGAAAGAGCTCAATGTTCGGACAGATTTCGCTCTGAGGCGATCGGCATGAACAGTGTCCGGTTGTCTTCTCCGTTCATTTTCGCGGCGCTGGTGATGGTGTAACTCCCGTTTGTTTTCAAATTCTTCATCTCCTTGGTCTGGCGAGCTTCTCCATTGGTGGAATCCCTGGTTTCCATCATCTCCCGAAGTCAACGCAAGCTAGGGTTGGAGATTTACTGTTCATCTTCTACGCACTCTTCTTCGATGAATTCCAGGTAAGTGTGGCTTGTCTCTCTTTGCCTCTTGCCATGGGAAAGAAGCCTAAGAAGACGACGAAGACCCCTGCACATTCTCCTCCTCCTGCTACGAGGAAGAAGAAGAAGAGTACCAAACTTGTTGTAGATCATGAATTGGATGTTGTGAACACTGTGGATGCTGGGGATGAATCGTCTGATGAGGAAAAGGGTGAGCCTTCGGTTCAGTCCTCTTTTGATACCTCAATTGATGAAGAGGAAGTTGCTAGGGCTCTCCAAATCTCACTGAAGCAGAACCTGGAAGCCATCCTAACTGATGATGTTGATAATGTCACTGCCAATGAACAACCTTTGAACAAGGAGACACCTACTGAGAATGTTTCTGATACACCTCTGGAACAACCCACCTGCAATGAGGAGAAAGAGAAGGAAAAAGAACCTCCTGATGCTGGCAAGAGTGGAGATAAACTGAATGAAGATAAAGTGGATAAGCCGATTGATGGAAAGAAATCTTTTGCCTCCTTTTTCATGAAAAACAGGGTTGAAGATAAAGGAATGAAGCTTCACAAGGTAGTTGCTCCTAAATGCTTTATACCTGAAGAAGACATGCTGACTGTGGAAGAAATTTGGGGACCTTGTCTTGTGGGTTGCTTCACTGGCAGATTCCCTGGGCTGTTAGCTATTCAAAAACTGGTTGACAGTTGGGGAGTCAAGTGTAAGTTTCTGCCTCACCACCAAGGATGGGTTGTCTTCAAATTCCTTACCAATGAAGATAGGGATTCTGCACTCTTACTTTCCAAGAAGGAAATCAATAATAAGAAATTGCTTATTAACATCCCTCCTGATGACTTTATGTGGGATGTTAAGTCCTTTTCAACCATGCCTGTCTGGGTTAAGCTTTGGAATGTTCCCATGAGGTTCTGGTCCTCAAATTCTCTATCTCACATAGGGTCTAAACTGGGCACACCCATGTACACGGATGGCCTCACTCACACAGTGGCTTCCAAGTTGAGTGCTGAAGATCAGGTTGAGAATGATGTGCTTAAATACCAGAAGCCCAACTACTGCAGAATGTTGATAAACATGGACCTATCCCTCACACCTCCTACCTCTGTTGAGGTGGATTTTGTTGGAGGTAGTTATGTCCAAAAGGTTGAGTATGAGGATATGCCACAATACTGTTATCACTGTAAGTGTTTTGGCCATGACCTCTTTAACTGCTCAGTTCTCCATGATATCAACAAGAGGAGATTCAATGAAGAACAAAAAGCTAAAGAAAGGGCCAGGGTTGAAACCCTTAAGACCATAATGCTTACAGAAGCACAAGCAACAACTAGAAAGCAACACCAACCACAGAAGGGAAAGGATAATGGGAAAGATGATGTGAACAACACTGTGGAAAACAAAGGGAAGGGAAAGGATACCTCTGGTGGTGTGGCCCAAAACCCAAATGATCCTGGCCCATCCTTCACTACCCACACTGAGGATGATGGCTTCACACAAGTAGGAGGTGGCAAGGGCAAACTTACCACACACCCTATCAGGGATGGAAAACTGAAAACTGGATACAACAAAGGGGGAGGCCAGACTGGAGGATATAGAGGTGGGGTTAACAGAGGAAGGGGAAGGGGCTATGGCCCTTACTGTTGATGAAGATACTTTGTTGGAATATTAGAGGCCTTGGCAGGGCCTCTAAGCAAGCTTTTTTGTGTAAATACATCTATGATCTTGGTATTAACATGTTTTGCATTTTGGAAACCAAGATGAGTGATGCCAAACTCAACCTTTTTGCTAATAATAAACTCCCATCATGGCACTTTAAACATAATTTTGAGCATATTGAGGATGGGAGAATGGCAATTTTTTGGAACCCAATTTTTGTATAATGTACTGTTTTGGCTACTACTTATCAATGTATGCACTGCAAGGTCAAATGTCTTATTTCTCAGAAGTGCTTTTTCATCTCTTTTGTCTATGCTTTGTATTGTGTGACTGCTAGAAGAACTCTCTGGGACTTTCTTACTGGTATGGCTGATAACCTAAATGACCCTTGGGCTATCATGGGAGATTTCAACTCAGTTATTAGCTCCAATGAAAGAGTCAACTGCCAGAGTCAAAGTGCTTACTTCATGAGTGATTTGAGACATTTCAGACTGCATAATGACCTGACAGATGCTAATTCAACTGGGTTGGATTTCACTTGGAATAAAGGTGATAAGTGGGCTAAGTTAGACAGGGTACTTGTGAACTATGATTGGGATAATTTGGATTGGGAATGCTGGGCTGAATTCAGAGATATGGAGATAGTGTCTGATCACTGCCCTGTTTTGCTGAAACTACTACCTACCCATACCCATGGAACCAAATCCTTTAAATTCTACAATATGTGGACCAAGCATGATGATTTTGATAGAGTGGTCAGACAGATCTGGGACCAGAGAATTGTTGGAACTAGGCAGTACAGACTTTGCACTAAGCTCAAGAAGCTCAAGTACCCTCTGAAGCAGCTGAATAGACATGAGTTTGGACATATATCTCAGAAAGCTGAGGATGCCAGAAAAATGTACAACACCCACATGAAGATGCTTATTCTGGACCCCAGCAATCCAGCTCTGATCAAAGAAAGTGATGTCCTGAGGAAGAAGGCTAACTTTTACTTGGATGCAGAGAGATCCTTCTTCCAGCAGAAAACCAAGTGTGACTTGGCCACTGAAGGGGATAAATGCACCAAATTTTTTCATAATCTTATGAAGAAGAAGAATACTAATAATGCCATTCCCTTCCTTATCCTTGAGGATGACAGAGTGACCACTAGTCAGGATGAAATTGCAAGTGAATTCATCCAGTACTTCACTCAGCTTTTTGGAAGAACTGTCCCTACTCAAGCTGTTGACTGGGATGTATTTCAAGAAGGCCCCACAATTTCACCATCTGATTGTACAAGCTTGACAAAGAAGGTCGATATTGCTGAGGTTAAAGAGGCCTTGTTCTCCATTGGCAACAATAAATCTCCAGGACCTGATGGGTTCACATCAGCTTTCTTTAAAGAAAAGTGGGATCTTGTTAGCCATACCTTATATGATGCTGTATCTGAATTTTTCATTAGTGGCAGACTTTTAAAGCAAATCAATCATGCTACTGTGGCTCTCATTCCTAAAGTCAGAGTTAACCCTAGGGTTAAGGACTTCAGGCCCATAGCATGCTCCAATGTTGTCTACAAGATTATTACTAAAATCCTGTCTAACAGAATGAGTTCCATTCTGCCAGGGTTGATTGATCATGCACAGGCAGCTTTTGTGGGGGGAAGGAATCTGGTAGACAATGTACTTTTGGCCCAGCACCTTGTTAAAGGTTATGCCAGAAAGAGAAATCCCCCTAATTGTATGATCAAAGTGGATATTACTAAAGCTTATGATACTATTGCTTGGCCTTTTCTGGAGAATGCTTTGACTGGTCTGGGTTTCCCTAGGAGATTTATCAAATGGATTATGGAGTGTGTTACCTCTGCTTCTTTTTCACTCTCCATAAATGGATCTCTACATGGCTTCATCAAATGCCAAAGGGGGATAAGACAGGGGGACCCCATGGCTCCTACCTTGTTCTTATTTTGTATGGAGTATCTGTCCAGACTTCTTAAGAAAATGACTAAAGAAAGGAAATTCAGTTTCCATTCTAAGTGCTCCAAATTGAGGATCAGCCATATTGCATTTGCAGATGATGTTATGCTTTTCTCTAGAGGTGATTTGCCCTCTGTCCAGGTTCTTGCTGAAGCCCTCAAACACTTTGCAGCAGTCTCTGGATTGCATGTCAATGAACATAAATCTAATATCTACCTGGTGGGTAAGATTAAGGATAACAAACAGGATATCCTTAACCTTGTTAACTTTCAGAAGGCCATCTACCTGTGAAGTATTTGGGTTTGCCTCTTACCTCTCAAAGGGCTTCTGAGAGAGATTTTGCTCCTCTTGTTGAAATGATTGATGATAATATTAAAAGGTGGAACACTAAGACCCTGTCCATGGCAGGAAGAGCTGAACTCATCAGGACTGTGATCCAAGGTATTGAAGGCTTCTGGCTACAAGCCTTTCCCATTCGCAAGATTGTGCTCAACAGAATCACCACACTTTGTAGGTCCTTCCTTTGGGGCAGTAAATTCTTCAAGGTGGCATGGGATGATATTTGCAAGCCTAAGGAGGAAGGGGGCCTTGGTTTAAGAAATTCTGGTTACTGGAATCAAGCTCTTATGGCCAAAACTCTGTGGAACATTGCATCTAGAAAGGAGACCCTTTGGGTGCAGTGGGTCCATGCAGTCTACTTGCAGGATAGGGACATCTGGACCTGGATCCCTAAAAAAGAGGACTCACACTTTTTCAAAAAGCTGGCTGAAATTAGAGATATCCTCCTCTTAAAAATTGGGCCAGGATTCACAGATCAGAATGGTATGGACATGATCATGGTTGATGGGAATGTTTGTACCTCTAAGGTTTATGACCTCATCAGAACTCATGGATCAAAGAAGGCTTCCATGAGGGTCATCTGGCAGAGTTACATTCCTCCCAGATTCTCCTTCACTACTTGGCTTGCTTTAAGAAAGAGATTGCCTACCAAAGTCAATCTTAGTTTCATACATATGGACAGCAGACAGTGTAGCCTCTGTGGTGAGGAGTTGGAAAAAACTAATCATTTGTTCTTTGCTTGTGTGGTCTCAAATGATACATGGAAAGGAATTAGAGATTGGCTGCATATTCCCAATGAACTGTCAACTATTGAAAGAGCCATTAAATGGCTTTTGAGAAGGCATGGAGTTCATGGCAACAGAAGGAGCATGTGGAGATTGGCTACTTTGAGTACCATCCACCACATTTGGAAGATGAGAAACCAAATCTATTTTGACAATCAAGGGATCAACTATCTTGCTGTGATTAGGAAGATCAAAGTGGGAGTGTATAAAATCATGTACAGACTGTACCCTCACTCCACTATTGCACTGTAAGTGATTCTGCACTTTTTTGCTGCCCTGCTGGTTTTCCAACTCCTTTGAGGTGGTACCTGTGGGGTGGTTGGGGAACTCTAGGTGGTACAGATGACATCCCACAGATGCCTGGTGGATCCTAGGGGTGTTATCTAGGCCTACCTGATGGTTTCAAATGTTTTTCTAGCCCCCCTCTTTAAAACCTAGGTCATGATTCCTTCTAGGAGTTATGGCCTTACATTTTTTCTGGTGGCTGATTGGAAGGAAACAATGTTGGGGCTAATAATGACCTTCTTGGAAGTTATTAAAACCTGTATTGGGTCCTGGTTAGGGGTTGGAGGGAGTAAGTCTAGGGGTAAACATTGGTTGCCCCTAGAAATACTACCTCACTGGTGGCATTTCTGGTGGTGGGGAACAAGGAACACCCTAAGAATGCCTTGGTGGATTCTT